ATGCTCGACCCCATGTTGCAAAAGTGATCAAGACATACTTGGAAACGTTGAAATGGGAAGTCCTACCCCACCCGCCGTATTCTCCAGACGTTGCTCCCTCTGACTATCACTTGTTTCGATCAATGGCACACGGCCTGGCTGACCAGCACTTCCGGTCTTATGAAGAAGTAAAAAATTGGATCGATTGGTGAATCGCCTCAAAAGATAACTAGTTTTTTCGACGTGGAATTCGTACGCTGCCCGAAAGATGGGAGAAAGTAGTGGCCAGCGATGGATAATACTTTGAATCATAAATGTATAACCAGTTTTTTACAATAAAGCCTCGAATTTCGGAAAAAAAACGGCGAAAGCAAAGTTATACACCTAATATTGCAAAATGACGACCTTGAAAAGAAAAACGAAATATATTTTAACTGTATGTACCATATACTTATATTGAGTATTTGATCATCAAAATTATATTTTTTTTCTCTTTACATATTGTATAAATACACGTCAAAATAACACTTTCGCATATTCAGTTTGTCATAAAAAATTGTGAAAGAACAAGCATGATTTTCAGGCAATCTGACCCTCCAGTCCCCTTAAGGGCCGGCAGGAAGACTGTGGAGATCTCTTGCGGAGATTTCAGAACTACTAATCAAGATACGTATTTTATATGTGGTTTTTACCTCGTACTACTGAGCCCGAACCAGGACAATATGACCATGTTGCTACATGTTCGTATTTTGGTTATTACAAAATAAAATATACGGTTAACAGGGTCATAGTAGGCATTAATGCATAGAAAAAGGTTATATCTATTATGTTTATACAGTCAGTTATATAACAATTAGTTATATGAGAAGTTATAACTTCGAAATTCTAACAGTATGGGACATCTAGCCCCGGTCTCCCCTATATAAGGTTTTAATAGTTGTCATCTGAAATTCATCTCATGTGAGATGTTCAGATTTTTATTCAGAGTTTGAGTTACTTCCAAAAGTTTCCTGTATCATATTATATGTGACCAGAGTTATAAAAATGTCAATTAAGTCTTTCTTAATCTAATAACTGATTTAGACAAATATGTCTCAGTTGGTATGAATGAATCAAAGATCATTCAATTAACGTTAATTGAACTTAGCAAATTTAATTAGAGGCCATTCAATTGACGATCATTTTAGCGGTCGGGGTGAATGGAGTTAGTATCGGTACACTCGCCGGGTGTTAAGTCCGAGATGTTAAGTCCAGGTTTGGTGTTAAGTCCGAGAGAGAAGTTGAATATTTAGACACGTGAAAACAAAATAAACAAGGTTTTTATTATTGCTCTTCTGTGGCGAGGTACAGGTGCAATGGAGCGAACGATGTGGAAGAGAGACGCGGGTAGTTGCGGTGCTTATTCTAAGTACGGCAAATGTAAATGACCGAAACTTATCCTGAACGCAGGATGCGGACAGTCGCGAAACTTGTTCTAAATGCGGGCGTATTAGCATATGCTTGCCTGGCGGCTAAGAACTCGCCAGGCACAATTAGTTTTGTGGATGATATTCATATTTGAAGCATCATTGAAAATGATTGAGAAATGCTAAATAAAATCCACAGAGGGAAGAGGGGGAAGGGCTACTGGTTACATCAATCGTCGCCGAACGATCTTCAATTAAATCGATTAAATTCGTTCATATCAATTGTCAATTAAACGGCTTTTAAATAAATTTGCTAAGTTCATTAATTGGTTATGCAAGTATTGCATAGTTATACAAGAATGATCGAACCCACCAAATTATGATTTTTAAGTTTTTGTTATCAATGAGTAATCCATGTGTCTTTCTATATAAAACAAAAAAAATCCGTGTCTTATGGCACTAATATTAATAAAAAAATATTAATTAAGTTCTAATATTAATTAAAAAATCGTTTTTATTTTCTACTAGTTGAACCTATTTTATCTATTTTTTAAGCTCAACTAGTAATACTGAAAAAGAAGAAAATTTACTATGTTTGATTTCTTAAACGATTGCAAAGAGTCTCAATATTATCTACACTTTTTAAATCACGTGTCACATTTTTATCTTCATTTTTCTCGAATCGTAATTTATGCGGGTTGGAATATTTTTGTACAACTACGGTCAACTGACCGATCTTTAATTCCCTTTGATCATATTAATCGTCAATTGAACAGTCTTCGATTGAATTTGTTGAAATTATTTGTCAATTAAACAGTCTTTAATTAAATTGGTTTATATCAATCATCAACTAAACACGATAATTAATTACTCGCAACTCTATATATGACATTTATGTTTACAATCGTGATTGAACTTAAAAAAACTATCTTTTAACTTTGAATTCAAATCTGAACATCTCACTTGAACTGAGTTTCAAATAATAATTATTATTACGGGTCTATGACTCGTTTATTCTATGAATTTTATCTAATTATGATTTTTTACGATTTAATATCTTTTGATTTATCGAAAAAATATATATAATGATGAAATTGTGCAAGTTAAATTATAGGTTTATTTAACTGTGAGAAAAGATACGGTTTGAAAAATTGGTTTGAAAAATTGACCGACTGAGAGTCAATGAAACAAAAAATAAAAGATATATATGTCTCAAATTATATATATATATATATATATATATATATATATATATATATATAAATAATTTATATATTTAATATATTTAATATAGTAATATATAAAAATATAATTATAATTTACATATACATAATTATAATATAAAAAATAACATAATTATTGATATATATAATTAATTATAAATAAATATATATATAATTAATTACATTTAATAATAATTAATCTTTGCTAATATTTATAATTTTTTTACCTTCTCTATTTATTTTTGGTAATTCAATAATTAGTTAAACTTTTGTACAATAAAAAGATGGTGGTAAACGTGTTTAAGGATGTATTGCCCGTATAGTCTCTACAAAAGGTCATTGGAAATTAAACAAAACTTTAATATTTCTATTTCCCATATAAGAATGTATGATATGTGTATATGTGTATACACACGTGCGCGCGAAAAAAATTTTATTACAAAAATTTTTATATTATTTGGTAACCAAAGAATAAATGGAGAGTGCAATATTCCAGTGACTATATTCCAATTTTTCATATACGCTATTTATAATTTGAGCTAAAATTTAACATTAAAAGATTTGTTATATTTTTTAACAACTAGCCTTTTAACTGCATTCTATTCCTGCATTACTATGTAACAAAATTTAAAAAAAATTAATATGAGAAAAAAACTACAATATATTCTCGTCATATAATACACTTGGATAACAATATATTTTTACTTTAATATCATATTTTCATAGTTTCATAATATCATATGTTTATAATTCATTTATTTTATTTTATATTATTTCTGAATTTTATCTTTTTCTGAATTACGATGAATATTTGTACAAATCATTTTAAATATTTAAAGTATATATATACAAAAATTGAAGTTCCTGTCATTTTTTAATTATCTTTTCCTTTACTAAAGATAGCAGCATCATATATTTGCACAACAGCACGGCTAAAAATACTCCCAAGCAGCATGACGTCAAATGACATATTAATGACGCATTAATGACGTCCCTAACGCCAATAATACGTCATTTGACGTTATCATGTTTGCTTACACTTCAAAGTGAGATAACTTTTAATCTGGGCTTTAAATCAAATTGTTCCTGCCACTTTCAGGTGCAATATCGACGAATCTGTAACTTTTCTCAAATTTTTACTTTATCTCTGAAATATGGGCAATGCATCCTTGAATGAAAAACAAGATGTGAAATCAGAAACTATTTCTCTCTCATTTACGGATTGTTCGTCGAATCCACGAATAGAAACGCGCGGGAGCGAATCAAGCGGAAGGGATTGTTTGCTACGGATGCTTACCAGCATTATGGGTATCTGCGAGATATCCTGGCCCTTCAGTTCCCTTATCACACCCCAGATCGGTCGCAGCTCCTCGAGACTTTGCCGGGAGCACACCGAGTACACCAAGATGAAGGCGTGACCTTTGCTTATGGAGAGCCGCTGCATAGCGGGAAACTGATGGGACCCCGTTGTGTCCGTAATTTGAAGTGTGCATATGTTTTTGTCGCAACTTATTACCTGAAATACCGTACACACACACGGTCCGGTTGTGAATTACCGCGCTATTATTTACGATCGACTCGACCCGCGCGACTCGGGTCGATCGTAAATAAATTGGACCCGCAGCGGCTCGCTTGGCTCGCGGTTCCACTCGGTTCCACTCGGGGTCATGCCGACCTGGCCGAGCTGAATCGAGCCAAACTGCTTCCAGTCGATGCCAGAACCTTCGAGTACCGCGCGATTCCATTGATAACTCGTATCGGCACATTTCTCGTCGCGCACACAGCGAGAGTCCCACCAGCGTCATTGTATCAAATACACACACATGCAAGCGTCATTGCACGTGTTATGTGTATGTGTGTGTTCTGAAATTCGTGACACATTTGTCCACATATATGTTTATGTATGTGTGTGTATGTATCTGTAGTGTGTGTATATATGTATGTGTATTTCACACATATATATGATATGAGCTATCCTCTCTCTCACACATACACTTAGAGAAAAATATCTAAGGAATATAAAATATTTATTCGGTAAATATTCTAATAATATATTTTAACTCATACTAATTTATAAAATGTTCTTCAAATAATGAAATATACAGAGTCAAAGTCACATAACGTTAGGTTCTAAAATATCTCTATTAGAGAATAAATTGCGTGTTGGAAAGAGACTGATCGATCACAATATTTATATCTTGCAACAACACAATTTATTCCTTAAGTATTTTCCTCTAATGTAAAATAATGAAGTTACTTTCTAACATTACAGGTGACTCATCTTGTATATTTCTTTAAAACCTTAGCCTTTCATGACAGTAATTATATTAAAAACAAATTAAGATTTAAATAAATATATGTTACTCGTACTCACTAAATAAATATTTTCTTTATTTTTCAGATATTTTTCTTTCAGTGTATATGTAACAAAACATTCCAAAATTATCAAATTTATCTTAATAAAACTGTACATCTTGAATATGCAGAGAAATGTAAAATCTTTTTTATAAAATAAGTAATCATTTTGATTACTTCAATAGCACGTAATTAAATAATAAAGCAAAATTGAACTTAATACATGGCTCTTATAAATCCTGTTACAACTTTGTTTCAAAGCTTAATCTCAGGATCAATTTTTATTAATTTGTTTACTAGTCAATTTGTAAAAATTGGTAAACAAATATTATTTGTAATACGAAGTTCATATAGCATTCATATTTATCACACAAAGTGTGATAAATATTCGCATATATACAAGAAGAAATACATCTAAAAGATATAATCCTAAAACACATTAGCTGTCACGGTTCATTTGAAAAATTCTGTCCACTCTTGGATTTTTTTTTATATAATTATATAAAAAGTAAACTTAATTTGCTTATGTCAACATAGAGAGAAAAATTGTATCGCTGTCACACATACGTGAGAGATCAGTGCTCCACACACGTGTGACGTTGGTAGCGAGCGCGTTAAAAATACTTTGCCTCTGATAAAATTTTTTTCTGTTACCAGTATTTTTGGAGATGTTCATCTGTCATGTTTTACGCGCCTCAACCTGTACACACTCATGAATGTAGGTATGTACGTGTATAAAATGCGTGGGTGGTCACATAGGGGGATAGCTGGCGAAGTCACATCATGACGACGGTGCTACCGATACAATGGAGCCGCTGTCACACGATCACATAGCCGTCACTCAAGAAACACAAATAACTATCGCGAACCGTGCGTTATCGGGCTGCTTCAAGAACGTTGTCGAGCGCGAATCAAATCACCAGTTACCCGCGTTGAACGGGGAGTCATCGTGTGGCGATAGTCAGTGTGGCGCGATAATGCGAACATCCTGCCGTTGATTTGTCACGCGATGCGTATACTTTTATAATTACGCAGCATGTGATGCGCGATTAATTTATTGTGTTATAAAACGTAAGATTGTCGCGTAGCACGACGCTTAGCGTGCCCTTAACGCGCTTTCATCAGTATTGTGTTATGCTGATTCTATCCAAATGGACAGGATGAATTTGTCGGTGATTTTATTAGACTAAACAGATTTTTAAGGGAGCTCATAAGAGCCGTGCGTTATGTTTAATTTCGCGCGTGATTATAATTATATGCTAGTGAAGGAATCACAATTGTGATTGCGTTGTTTGCTTCATCAAATTCAACATAAGCATCGAATTTATCCAAAATATATTTCGAATCTTAATAAATTTAGCATTTTAATAAAAAATAATAAATTGTAAAGAACTTGAAAAAAATAAACTGCCTTCAAAAGCCTTAAAAGGTATAAAATCATTTTGAATCAATGTTTTTTTGTGCACAATCCTCTACTAACGATATTAGTCTGCACGAAAACTTATTTGATTAAGTTCATTGTCATACATATAAAATAATTTTTCTTATTATTATCTCTCTGCAGTTATATAATTACTTATCTAATTCGACTTTTTCGCACCGAAAGATTTCTAATCTGTATATATAAAATAGAAAGTCGGTCTATCTGTCTGTCTGTACGTTCCCTATAAATTTCTAAATCCTTTGAACGATCTGGATTAAATTTTGCACAGTTATTATTTTCTAGGATCCTGCGGAAAATATAGGCTACTATGAAATCTGGACACACACACACAAACCTCACTCCCTCTTCTTGAATTTCATCACCTTAACACTTTATGATAACATTGGATAGTTTAATAAATTAATATTGTTATGATAATAGAATGGAATTGGGTAAAAATATTAACATAGGAATATTAATACAAAATTAATTCATTCGGAAGAGTTATAAATTAATTCATTCTTTTGAGACTTTTTAAGGCGGTTATTGTCCTTTGCAGTTTTTTATTTTGTACTTTTTTATTATTTACCAAACGCTTGTTTTTAAAGTCGGGTAAAAAAAGTTGTTTTTTAAATCGGTTAAAAATAAAAGTCTCGTTTTGTATCTCTAAATATTCTCGGGTTTTCAAGAAAATAATAGAAAATTATTCAACTTCAGACAATTTTTATTGCTCCAATAGCATATAATTATAATTAAACAAAATTAAACCTAATGCACGACTCTTATAGATCCTGTTACAAATTTGTTTCAATTTTTTTTATCTTGGAGCCAATCTGTATTAATTTGTTTATTATTGGATTTGCAAAAATTTACGAATAAACTTGATTTTTTGTAATATAAATGGCTTATACAGAGCACTCATATTTTCCACATAGAATGGTGCAATAAAAGCGAAAGAAATACGAGAAAAATCATCAAAATTTGCTTAAAACAATTTGTGGCATGTAAAATCCAATATGAAAAACTGAGTGTAAATTTTAGTAAATTTGTCGTTGCACCAATATAATAACAAAATTACGTTATTATATGATGCAAATTTAATGATTAATCCAATACAGTATATTTGCATCATAAATACGATTAAAAATTTTCGAAGTTTCCATCATTGATTTTTGCTTCGTGATAAAATCACTTAAGTCTATCTGAATACTTTAAGATAACTTATAAATGTAATACGTGATATAAAAGTCTAAATGTAATATTTAGTTTAGCTGCACTAATATAATAAAAAAAGTTACATTATATATAATGCAAATTTAACGATTAATCCAATATATCTGTATCTCATAAATATGATTAAAAATTTTTCGAGGTTTCCAATTTCTGTCTCATCTCGTGATAATCATTAAAATCTATCTAGGTATTTTCATATAATTACCCCCATCATCGTATATACGTCCAAATATTCTTCAATATGTATGTGTGTGTACATGACAACGACTGTGAGTAATTTAACATGTTCGTAATTTCCGCATTATCCACGTCGACATGTTACTTCCATGCGCGTATTATCAGGCAGAAATATACGAATAGAGACATTAAATTCGCGTATGGCCAAGTTCTCACGTTGGATGCTTGCGTGCGTGCCTGCTCGCATGCGCGCGACGCGTCCGATTAATCGTTAAATCGCGATTCACGCGGAAATTATTATTTACGTAAGCATCCGCCGATAAAATGCGCTTCGCTTGTGCGACCTATGCGGCACGCGCGCGATCCGTCCGTTGCAATTTCACGCGTGTCTCGTGAATGTACACAGCACGCGTGCGAGAACTAATTCGCCGTCTGGTTTTGTCGGAGAGGCGCTGGCCGCGCTGTCGAAACCGGGACGAAATTAAACCTTAATTAACGCTAACAAAATTTACCGCCAACGGCCCCGCGCGATTATCTCTCCGGTTAATTAATTATAATCGCGAGGTTGAGAATTACGCGCGATCGTTTCGGGTTCCGCGTATGTAAACATCAGCAGGAATCACACATCGGGCTATCCCCGACTATAATTCTCTAATTGAGAACTAATGACGAATCGGTCGGAAGCTTAGTTAACTTCAACTGCAGTTATCTCACGCGGCTTGTAATTATTCCCTTCAATTAATCAATTAATTAATCCTAGGTAAATAACGTTATCTTTAGTCTGTCAGGGATAAACGGAAATACGCGTTCATATGGCGTGTACATTAAATTCGCGCGTATCGCTTTTTTCAGCTGCTTGAGACGGAAGCAAATCAAAAGGAAAATCAGTCGAAACAGTTTGAATTCACACACAGAAAATGCATACTGCGTTCAAATGAATGTTGCTAGTTTTAAGTATTTTGTGAGTTCCCTAAATCTATCTCATTATTTTGGAATTTTATTTATTATGGAAATATCAAATTTATTTAAAATACATTTTGAATCCCAATAAATTTTTAACCAAGCTTTTCAATCGAGATTATTAAATTAAAACGCAAATTTAGTTTGCTTACAGCACACATACATATAGAGTCAAAGCAACTTTTTCTTTTATAACGATTTCTAGATACACCCCGAGTAAAAATGTATCTAGTAGAGCAGATTTCAAGACTAGTAGCTCGATAGTAATGACTAGATAAGTTTTCTAGCCAGTCACCAGCTCGTGACTGGCTAAATTCCTACTCAGTCTTTTGAATGTCAGGATTATCTAGTGACTATATCAATTACATAGATAGTAGTTAGATGAAAAAGATTACACAGTAACGAGATATAAAATCATTGGTAAGTCCTGAATAGAAATTGGATATCAGAACTGTCTAGTAACTGAACCAATTATAGGTTACTTTTATATTATAACCAATTATAGGTACTTTTTGTATCCAGCTACTAGATAATTTTTCTGGTATAGCTACTAGGAGAATTGAGCGTTACATTCCTAGTAGCGATGTAAGACCCAACTTTTCTGTGTCATTACTAGACAATAACTAGATTCAATTTTTGCTCGGGACTTTTCTGGTTATCATGATGTGAGACAATTTATGATAAAAACTCTTCGATTTTTTAAATTATATTTATGAGACGAATACACTATATTGACTTAATCATTAAATTTCCATCATACAATGATGTAAAATGTTTGTTATATTGATATAGCGATATATTTACTAACGACCGACTTTTCAATGATAGATTAAACTTAGATTTCAACTTAAACTCTGTTTATAAAACAAATGCATTGTTAGAATAGAATTTAAACTTGAATCCATGTTTAAACTACAATTGAAAATTAAGCCGGCCTTAAGAGTTACACTCAGATTTTCATATTACATTTTGCATATCATATTGTTTGAAGGAAACTTTTATCACTCTTTTCGGATCTCCTTCGTATTTCCATGTCGTCATTCTATACGAGAAATAAGAGTATCGTGTGAACTATTCAAGGCGCAATCTTTGCAAATTGATGATAGTACAGCTGCTGCCAAATTTATATATATCTATCTATCTGGATTTATAATATTCTTATATACTTGTACTTGAATATATTGATATTAGAATAAATATTTTTTATAATACTCTTGTAAAAGTAAGTAAATTTTTCTTTTGGATGCGTGATCACTTCTCTTAGCAGTAAAATAATGTTTTATGTGTGCAGATAAACGGACTCAATTTCAGGGTTGCATACGGTGGAATGTTCTAATATTCCCAACAAAATTTTCGTGTTTATTTAATCTTACCTCGCTTATGTAAAGCGAGTTGAAAGTTTAGTTTAATAAGGCAATCATAAAATTGATCCGACACATTATTAGTCGCAATTATCGCCTGATTTAACCTTCTTAACCTTCCATCAGATATATGCAGTTACGTAATAAATAATTTCGGATTTTTCAGATAAAATGGGACGATCGTATTTTTATGTCGTTATAATTTTGTGAAACAATGTATACGCCTTTTTAATCTATGATCTCCTGCCGTCCTTTGTATACAAAGTTTTGTCAAAATTATAGCGACATAAACATATAATCGTTACATTTTACTCGAAATTATTTGTTACATAATACAGTTAAAAGCGTATTAAACAATTAGATTAATTTTCTTCTTAATTTAATCTCCTAATAGTTGAGATATATTTATATTATACATACAATAAAAAAAATAAATAACAATATAAATAATAAAAAAAAATATATATTCCTATCATTTATATACTGAGAGAAAAACATCTAAAGAATAGAAAATATTTTTATTCGATATGAGAGAGAGTACTAATAACATATTTAATTAAATTTAAATTCTTTTATTTGAATAATATGAATAATTGCTTTCATGAAAAGCTGAAATTAAAAAGAAATATATTTCTTTTCTGACAAACATTTTATATTAGTATGAGTGAATATGTTATTATAAGTATTCAACAAATAAATCTATTTTTTATTTCTATTTTTTCCCTTAGTGTATTGAGTTGAAAGAACATTTGTATCATACATAGAACCATAATGTAAAATTAATAATTAAATATGAGACGTATTTGAGTTTCGTTAAAAACGCTTATTACTCACAAAATTTTGCGATTCAAATTGCTACGACTGATATTGTGTCGACTTGTCTCAACGCTTGTCCAATTTGACTCGACTGCAATTTGTGCAACAAAATTTGTGCTAGCCTGAAACTAAGTTTTTTTATTCAATTTTCTTTTTTGGCGCATCAGATGACTCTCTTTCTCCTTATTTTTCTTTCAAATTGCTTTTTTTATGCGGTCTGCGATGCTAACACGTTAACTCGTTAATGCAATTTTGACTGGTCGTTAGCAATCTAGGGTCAATCGCCGTTGGAAATTCGCGCGAGTGACAGCCGTTCGAGAAAAACAGATCGGAGAAACGTTCTGGGGGTGGTTGATACGGGGACGGCCGCACCGCCGCCGCTGCAGTCGCGGTCGCAACCGCGCCGTGCCGCACCATCGGTCGACTTACCTGTCTGTAAGTGTCCTCGATGGTCGGTATGTAGGACTCGCGGAAGGATCCTTTCACGAAACGCAGCACGAGGGAACTCTTGCCGACACCGCCCGCACCGAACACGACCACGCGATAGTCGTTGCTCTGCTCCGGCATCCTGACATCTGCCGTCCCGGCGACGTAAACCCCCGGCCCTCGGGGTCCCTGGCGTGCAAAAAGAGAAAGAGAAACGATGAGAAAAGCAAGAGAGATGGAGAGAGGAAGAGAAAAGTACAGAATAGAAAAAGAGAGAGAGAACGTATGTGAGACGACCTCTCTCTGAATCAACCCCTTCGCAACCCCCGCTCGCCGACCGACACGCAAGCTCTACAGGATGTTTCGGAATCAACTGGGGTGTCTCTTCAATCAAAGCTTCTCCATCAAGACGGTTACCAATTTGGAGACGATTTTCCCGTGACGAAAATGCCCAGGGAAATCGTCTTTTCTTTTAATTTATCGTATTCGCTCATTCTTTCACACTGTGTATCTCTTTAATTCTGTGTATACAAAAATTAGTATCCATTTAAAAAAGATACTCAAGTTAACAACCATTGTTTCATATATAAGTAACGATATATAATCTTGTTAGGACAATTAATAGTTTTGGATTTCAACAATATTATAATTAGATTAATAATGAAGTGTTATAATAGTCTCATAAGAAGTACAATATGACTGTTATCTTCTGATATTTAAAAACATCATATACCCAATCCAATATTTTGTACTTTCCATTTATGAAAATTATTTTCGAGTAATAAGAATATATTTGAATCATACACTGAGAGAAAAAAAATGGTTGATCTAATTAAAATTATAGTTATTCTTGGCGTCAATCATATGTTTTGCAGTAAAATGCTAGTAACCTGCATATAAGATTATAATCATTAACATTATTGTAGAATTTAATAAAGAATAGTTCATAATCTCTAGTAATTATTTCTGTATGTAATTATAATTGCAAATAGCAAATACTTTTGTCTTAGTGTACAAAATGTATTAATGCAAGTAACTTATCTCTTTGTTTAACACTATGTAATCTCATTTTAAGATTTACATATAAAAAAAAATACAAATATTTTTTAATTAAGAATGTCTTTTCTGTGTATACTGTTAGAAAAGTTCTTAAAAATAAAAGTATTTTTGTAAGTAAACTTAAGAATTTAATATTAAAATTAATAATAGTGGAGATTTTCATAACATTAGGATTATTAGTTATAAATTATTTATAATATTTCATATTTCTTATGAAATCTAATATTTTCTACCTTATATTCCATGTTTTTTAAATTCCATATTAAATTATAACATATTAAATTAAAACATTATAACACATTATGATATGTTAGTATAATCTAATATAATAATATAATAATTCTAATATATCATAAATACGAGACCGTTTAAGTCCCGTGGCCTGAAAGATTCAGTTTGCAAAGCATCGTGACCTTTATCGAGATTTCAACGGAGCTATTAAAAAATCTATTTTTCATAATAGCATTTCTAAATTATTATAAAAACATTATAAAAAATAAAATCTGATGATTTTTCATAACTATATATTATTAAATATAATATTAATTTTACTATTAATTTTTATAACACAGTTATATAAAAAAAAACTTCACATTAGTTATTAAATTTAATACGGATTTTTCTAACAGTGTAAAGATCTGTTTATGGGTGATTTACTCTCTAAATTTCTTGAAATGAAGGTTCACTCAAAAAACAGACTGTCATATCAAGTCACTCAAATTCGAGTAATTTTTCACTCATACAGAATGAGCTCTTCACTCAGAATCGTCGAAAGAATATTTTTACTCGGAATTGAAAAGTAAATCTGAGGTACTGTACTGTCATAGAGATAGATTCACTTTGATGGAGTGAAACATTCGCTCATATGAAGGCAGACTCCAAACTTGAATGAAATATTCACCGTTGTGATTTCGAGTGGCAGTATTTTCACTCTGAGTAAGAATACTGTTGATTTTCACATTTTAAGTAAGATTCTACTCCAAGAAATTTAGAGAACATGATTTCGTTATCTTCCGACATTTAAAAACATCATATACTCAATCCAATATTTTATGCTTTCTTGTTTTTTTCTTGAAGCTTAAGGCTCCTGATATCGCCATATTAAATTGTGACATCAGAAGCGAGAAATAACACGCGAAAAATTCTTGTGTACCAAATAAAAAGATATTTGTTCAATTGTTGGCATCGCCCTCAATTTTGATACTCTAAGAAAACCTGCTTTTCCTTGCGATCAATATTGTAGTTAAATTTTTTTATCTATACTCTATAATTCCAAAATCTTTTAATTAACCTTACAACTAAAATTGTGAGCAAATGCCGCTAGTCGCAAGGAAAACCAGGTTCTAGAGAGTCAATAAATCTAGAGAGTCCCACATAGCACCAAAATCAATGTTATTATTACTAAAATATTACTAAAATATTGTATAATATCTCAGTATATAAATTAAATTTTTTTGTATAGAAATATAATGTTGCAGTAATTTTCTCTATCGAAGTGTGGTATGTTAATATTGTTAACTTAAAATAATAAGGTAATTATATTTTGATAAATATCGAAATAATATTAATTTAACTGCAAGACAATCTTTAAAGACCAAGAAAATTTTGTATTAATGTTCGAGTTTAAGGTTTATTAAATATCCCAGAATGCACAACATTTTAAGATCATGATAACATCACTACCATCTTCAGCAATATAATTAAAAGCTTCTTAAGTTTAACGTTTAATGAAATATTTTTGTGTTTTGTAGACTAAAGGAGATGTTAATAATTGAGTGATTTATTTATTATTGACCCTATTTATTATTTCGTAATTTGCCTTTCCTTGGAGGTAAGTTCATTAATAACACTTAATTCCCGTGCTATTAACTCATTAATAGCGCAAGTCGTTAGTAACGCGGGAAATCGATCCCGAATCGATTGGAAAGTTTGCGGCAAGGGAGGAGATTCGACGATTTTGCGACGCCCTGTACAAACACGCACACTCTCACTGTAACCTCCGCTCCACTTCGCCCACGCGAATAATCTAAACCCACGAAAGGTTACATTCGTCCGTCCGCCCTTCCGTGCGTATCTCGTGACGTATTCCCTGATGACGACACTGTCACGCCCACGAAGCCGCATACCGTCGCGTTATCCACTCGTCCTGCGGTCCTGCCGAGTCTGGATCCTTTCATTCGCGCTTCTTCACGTCCGCACGTCTCGCGATTTTTCAATTTCCTCCTCTAAAATTTCAAATCAAGCGACACGGTAGTGTCGCGAAGCCAAGTGCAAGCGCGAACGGCCGTGTATAATTACGCCGCGACACTAGTTGATTGCACACTAGATTTCTTGTTTGACCATAAGGGCTATCGCACACAAATTGACATAACTGCATATGCATACAATAAGATCGTATGGACCAATGAGCATCGAATATTAAGCATCGAACACCAATATGGCGACTTAATACTCGATGCTCATTGGTACATACGGTCTTATGCTATGCATATGCAGTTATGTCAATTTGTGTGCGATAGCCCTAACGGTTGAACAGATTAGATTTTAGATAGGCTCAATCGATTCCTTGGGTTTACATTAGTTAATAAAACTGTCTTTACTTTTGCTCTACGTTCTCTAGAAGCTGAGATATTTTAGCTCAAAGTTCGAAATCGCTAAATTTTACGATTAAGGAATTCGTCGTTTGAGAAAATGTCCAGTTTGACATATTTGTCGCCAGAGGCGCTACGGCTCAGATCAGCTTGAGGTGTTCGGAAACTCGGTATGAGTTTGTTCTTTGTAGCTGCACTGCTAAACTGGTGCAATAAATTAGAATAAGACAAAATATACTTTCTCACTTTAACTTATTGCACCAGTTCAATAGTGCAGCTAAAAATAACAGACCAAGTAGTATTTACATGGCAATTATTCAGTTTAGTAACCTCACCTCCGATTTCGATGAAAGTAGGCTCAAGCGACACGTTTTTGTTAAAGAAACAATTTTTGACAAAATCGTCGGTCTCTACTACAAAGCGAGATATTAATAAACAAAGTGGAGGGCGCGTTAAGTTAGAAAATCTATCATACTGTCTATCTCTAGCTGTGTGACTGAGGGGCTTTGCCTATTTTTTTTTAATGTTACTCGTACAACATACTCCAGATTAAAAGTATTAAAAGTATCTTGAGTATTAACATACTCAAGATTAAAAGTATTAAAAGTATTAATGCGATCACTTTTGGCACGCCAAGTGTTTTGTGTGTGCGTGTGAAATTTTATCTTGGCACGCCAAGTATTTTCTATGTGCGTGTGACATTTAAACTTTCCCAAAATTTTTACTTTTGTATGTTTACTAAATAAGCTTTTAAAAACTATTTTTTCATAATTCTGTGTAATTATCAGAAAATAAAATCACTAGATGTAGTGTTCATATATGCAAAGTAGTTATAATAATATTTATTGTATATGAAATTAATTTTACTTGGCGTAAACCGTTTGATATCATTTCTTTTTGTAAGAATTTTGTCAATAACTTTTTTTATAATATTTTTTCAAAGTGAAACAAAGCACGTGCACTTGGCTTCTTTTTTTACCTTTTTTTTAAAGAGTAGATACTACTCTGATTAAGAGAAGTTCGTTCATCTTTCTCCTATCTGATAAATATAGAAGTTACATAGCGAAGCAGACGAGCAAACTGTTCTTTGATCGATCAACACGTCGTTCTATGCGCGAGAAACATGATGCATCGCGGATGTTACGGTAGAAAAACTGTTGATTCCGCAAAACATTCGAGTGATATGTTGCAATTGTTGTCCAATTGTTGTGGATATAGTTTCGAATAAAATCAATATATTTTATAAAATTATTGAAGTTTTTTAATAAAAATAGAACATTTAATCTTTTTTTTTATAGAGTTTTCTTTTCTTATTTGTGACATACGTAAGGTAAAAATACCAATGCCTGGACACGTATCTAATTCTGAACATTCTTATTGTTTTAATTTTTAAATACAAATATTTAAACATAGGATTTTTAATCTTATATTAAATAGAAAAGTTTGAATATTTTATAAATCTAAAATCTCTATATATAAAACAATTATACATTTCTATTATAAGCATCAAATTTCAGAATACACCTTGAATCCTAGTAA